GGGATGGGACTGGGATGGGACTGGGATGGGACTGGGATGGGGCAGAGTGGAATGGAATAGGATGGAATAGAGCGTAGAGCAATGGAATGGAGTGGAATGGGATGGGATGGGAGGAGGGGGTCAGGGCCAGGTACAGGGCCTTAGGTCCAGGTTTGGAGCAGGGATGGGGGCCTATGGAAGCCAACGGTCTGGGCAGGGTGATGCGGTGCCCGGGCGCTGCTGGCGGTGCTTCAGCCACGCTGAGCTGTGTTCACAGCATCCTGCTCGGCCACGGCTCCCCAGGGCACCTCTGGGTGTGTGGGGTCCAAGAGGGGACAGCACCATCCCTGGGAGTTTGGGGCCATGACCTGTTGCAGAGCCTGTGGATCCCAGCTGGCTCAGGGGGTCAGGCTGGGGGGCAGTGTGTGCTGAAGTGACGGAGAAAACAAAAGTGTAGGTCATTCTGGAAGGTGCTGAGTGCCAGCCGCTGCCCAGGAGAGCCGAGTTTGGAAGTCACGCTGGAAACAGCCCTTGTGGTGCACATCCTGCCCCTGGAATGCCACCAGCCTCAGGCAGCTCAACTGTGGATGCAGGAGCCAGCCGGGCAGTTTGGGGAGTTGGTGGTTTTTCCACATGGGGAAATGGTGACGAACAGTGATGAGAGGGAGACCACGGGGTTAAAGGGCTTCCTCAAAACGGAGCTGTCTCATGCCCACGGGCGAGGGAACACCACCCAACTGGCAGCACTGGGAAACCAAGAGCTCTGTTTTCCCGGTTTCTTCAGAAAATTGTGGGGTTTCCTTACTGCTGCTCCTTGGAACCATTTGTAGTTCAAAACAGAACGACTTGTTTTATTGTACAAGTGGTGGTGGAAGGACTCAGAAATACTCCAGGTGACGTGCAAACACTGGCCTAAGTAAAGGATTGATTACCACCAACTGCACAAGCCCCACATACTTAGAGGAATAAAAATGGTCATTTCAACCCCAAATACTGACTTTAACAGTTCCACTGAGGAATACATGTGTGTTATTCATGAGAAACATTTGACAACTGGATCTACAAGTGAGCTCAGAAATAAAATTGTCTTGCAGGAGATCCGGGAGAAATAGCTCTGAAAAGCTCATGCTGAGGTGTGAGCTCTTCAGCCTTGCTGAGCTCCAAAGATCCCGGTAATTTTAAATCCTGCTGATCCCCCAGACACCCCCTCACAGATCAGGTGTGGGTTTTTTCCATTTCTAGTCATCTCTGACAAACTTTAATAAAGCTTCTGGATATTTATCTCTTTATTATAAAGCTACTTGGTGCCCCTACTACAGAAGATGTCCAGTGTAAACTCAGCTTTGTTACCATCTGCCAGTGACCCACAGGACCAAACAGACAGTCAGAGTTGAACCACATTTCACCTGTGCCCAGGTGAACCACCCCAATGCTTAATGCTCCTGGGCAGATCTGCCACGTGAAGCACGAGGCACGTAAATCAGATTATAGAGGCTTGTCGAGGGCAGACACTCCTGGGCCGCTAATCACAAAACCCACACTTGAGGAAAGCAAAGAATTCCATAGTCTCTGACACAGTCTTGCTGTTTATGTGTGAATTTCTTGGTAGAGAAAGCAAGGCACTGGAAGAGTGGTGGAGAGCAGCAATAGCAGAGGGGCTCCCTGCTGATTTCTGACTCCCCAGGTTCATCCTGGCCTTCCTGCCCCACAGATAATGTAGAAATACATTCCCTGGGGTTTTTCCTTTACCTCCCCATACCCACTTTCTGCAGTAAATGCGGTGCTATTTATGTAGCTGCATATTTCCATGGATGTTCATACCCCATGCCGGAGGCAAATGATGCTGTAGTGGAAACACGCTCATAGTCATCGCATCACAGGGCAATGGTGCGTGTCCATGAGCTCTGCAGAGCCCATGGATCCCTCTCAGCCTGCACAGAGGTGGGTTTTGTGTCTCTGCTCTCCTTGTGAAGCTCCACAGGCTGTGATGGTTCTCAGCAGACCCGCACGCAACTCTCGGCAGTTTCTCCTGTGGAAAGCACAGCAGAGGGAATCCCCCCCTTCTTAAAGATCACATTTCCTACGTGGTTGCCCCTTCTTCACACATCAGAAGTTGAATCATGCAACACAAAAGGCATGTGGTGAGTAAACTACCTTTCTATCTAAGGAAACTGGGGACGGCCCTGAGGGGAAGGAAGGGGTAATGTAAGTGAAGTAACGAGAGCAGCAAGCGGAGGCTCAATTTCAGCACACAGTTCCTTCCAGGAAGATTTCAAAGCAGTTTACCAAAAATTAAAAAAAAGAAAAAAAAAAGGTAAAAATTTTGCAAAGTGTGTGGCATAAAGACGTGACACTCTCAGGTCTCCCAGCAAGGCAGTGGTTAAAGGGATATCTCCAGGGTCCCTTGTCCTGCCTGCTGGGGCACAAGCACTCAAAATGGGAAGCTTCCTTAGTAGCCACATGGGAAGAGCTGTGAGCACAAATGGGCAGCCTTTGCTTCCCGTCACTCCTGGGCTTTCCAGGAAAGCTAAGGAAAGAAGTGGCAAAGGGGAAGGAAAAAAGCCAAGCAGGGAAAGACCTTACGCACTCTGCCTTAGAGAAGGAGCCCGGCTGCTGTGGCGGGAGGATGCAGCTGGGTTAACACCTGACCTGGATGATGCTGAGCCCTCCCCAGGGAACACCGTCATCCTCAGCACAGGAACAGCCCTTCCCACTGTGCAGCACGCTGAGAGCCACGCTCCTGTGCCAGGAGATTGGGAATGACATACCTGGGAGGTGCTGGAGAGCTGCCCAGCCAAGGGGAACGTGACGAGGAAAGGAGGGAGGAAGTCAGGGACTCCCCAAGACTTGAGTGACGTGGTTGTAGAAACCCAGGAGACCTCTTCAGTTCTGGAGGTGAGATGACAGTTGTGTCAAAAAATTGGGTTTAAAACTTAAAGCAGAGCTCAGGAATGTCTGGCTTCCACATCTGTACTAAGACCACCAGGATTTGCTCCTTGAATCACTGCATTAATTTTATACCACATCCTTCTCTCCTAAGAGAAATGCTTTTTTTAATTTATTTATTTTAGGTAAGACCACATGAAACAATTCCTGTGGAATTTACTTCCACGTGGAGCCACCCTCTAATGTGTGAACACTAATACTCACTGGAGTGTTATCTGATATTTATGAGATAATACTCATCACAGATTTTGAAGGTCCTTCTAGTTGAAGCAAAGTGACATTTCCTTGTGATAAGTCAGTAGCAGATAAAGATTTGCTCACTGTCTCTGTGCAGCCCCACATGAGACAAGACCCAGAATGTTTGCTCAGTCTGGTGCCTCAGCCCAGCAGCTCCAGGAAGCTCTTCTGAGACAGGCAAAGAGGAAGTACGTGCCAATTTTTCAAAATGTTTTAAAAAAACCCGACTCTCTTTCTGTACTGAGAACAAAAACTGCTTAGCTGGCAAGTGCCATCCTGTCCCCCCGAACGAGGGCTGACCTCTCTGGGCCACTCTCCTGGCACCTTCCCTGCAGCAGCAGGGCCAGCTGAGCCTGGGGCTCTTTTCCACAAAACCCCATAATCCCATAATATTTAGGGTTGGAAAGGACTTCTGGAAATCATGCAGTCCAAACCCCCTGCCAAGGCAGTGTCACCTGGAGCAGGTGACACAGGAACATGTCTGGGTGTGTTTAAAGGTCTCCAGAGAGACTCCACACCCTCCCTGGGCAGCTGTTCCAGTGCTCTGTCACCCTCAACAGAACGAATTTCCTCCTTGTGTTGAGGTGGAACTTTTTGTGCTTCAGTTCATGGCTATTGCTCCTCATCCTGTCACTGGGCACCGCTGAAAAGAGTCTGGCACCGTCCTCTTGGCACCTGTCCGTGAGATATTTATGTGCTTTAATGAGATTCCCCCTCTCAGTCTTCTCTTCTCTAGACTAAACAGGCCCATGAGACAGGGGAGATTCATACTAGATATTAGAAAAAACAATTTTCACTGCTAGGGTGGTCAGGCATTGGAATAGGTTTCCCAGGGAGGTGGTGGAGTCACCATCCCTGGAGGTGTTCAAGAGGCATCTTGGACCTGGTGCTGAGTGGATGGTTGGACTGGGTGATCTTAAAGGTCTCTTCCAACCTCGATGATCCTGTGAAGTCATTCTGCACCTTCAACTTTGTTCTCCATTACCGAAGCACTGTAAAATTGCAATCATGTGAGCCTATAAACCTTTAACTCCATTACACAGCAGCGCCCTGTGCCTGAATGTTCTTTCACTGTGCGTGTTTCCTCAGGAGCAACCTGGCTCCAGCAGGGAGGCACAGCCTGGATCTGCTCCAGAAACAGTGCCTAAAATCTCCATCTCAAGCTTAAGTTCAAAGCGAGTTTGGGGGGATTTCTTAAGGAAAAGGGAGAAAAAGTTTTAAAAGCAATTTGAGCGTAGTTAAAAGGCAACCAGAAGTAGGACAGGAGGCAGGTAGGTTTCGGTCAGACATTAGGAAGAAGTTCTTTACAGAGAGAGTGACTGGGTATTGGAATGGGTTTTCTACAACCACCTGAAAAGAGGCTGTAGCCAGGTGGGAGTTGGGCTCTGCTCCAGGGAACAAGTGGCAGGACGAGAGGACACAGTCTTAACCTGGGCCAGGGCAGGTTCAGATTGGACACCAGGAGGAATTTCTTCACAGAAAGGGTGATTAGACACTGGAATGGGCCGCCCAGGGGGAGGTGGTGGAGTGCCCATCCCTGGAGGTGTTTAATGAGAGACTGGAAGTGGCACAGACGAGGTGCTGCTGGGCCAAAGGCAACTGCGCCTGCCAGAGCTCAAAGGGATGCTTGGACAACGCTCTCAGGCACACGGCGGGGGCGGTCGGGGCTGCTGAGATGGAAATCCCTCATCGCTGCGCGTCCCTTCCCCACACACAGCACTCCAACCCCACCCCGCTGCCCGCCCGGCCCCTCCCGCCATTTCCTGTGAGGCGCCGCTGTGGGCGGGGCTCCCCTCACGGGCGGGGCCGGGGCGGGGCGCATGCGCGGCGCGGGGCGCGCGCGGCGCGGGCGGCGGGCGCTCCCCTGGCTGGCGGCGCTCGCTAAGATGGCGGATTTCCTGCCGTCCCGCTCCGCGCTGTCCGGCTGCTTCCCCGGCTGCCTCCTCACCAGCGGCGAGGCCGAGCAGCAGCGCAAGTCCAAGGAGATCGACAAGTGCCTCAACCGCGAGAAGACCTACGTGAAGCGCCTCGTCAAGATCCTGCTGCTGGGCGCGGGCGAGAGCGGCAAGTCCACCTTCCTGAAGCAGATGCGGATCATCCACGGGCAGGACTGGGACCGCGCGGCCCGCGAGGAGTTCCGCGCCACCATCTACAGCAACGTGATCAAGGGTGGGTGGCGGGTGAGGGCGGCGGGGCTGGGGCCGCCCTGCCTTGCCCTGCCCTGCCCTGCCTTGCGAGCGCCGGGCCCGGCCGGGCCGGGGCGGGGGGAGGCGGCTCGGGCGGGTCCCGCGGGCCGGAGGAGCGAAGGGGCCGCCGCCTTCTCCTCCTTCTCCTCCTCCTCCTTCTCCTCTTCGTCCCGCGCTGTCCTGGCGCTTCATCCTTCCCCCCTCCGGAGTCGGGGCGCGGGCCCGCCGGGTGTCACCGCCCGGGTGCGGCCCGCGGGGCGGCCCCGGGAGCAGCGGGTTGAGCCCGGGAGGTCCCGGGATTTGCTCCTTGGCTGGAGGAAGGTCTGGAGCACCAGGAGCGACTGGGCGCGGGGCTCAGCCTGCAGGAAGGGAGGCTTAGGGGTGACCTTGTTGCTCTCTACAGACACCTGAAAGAATGTAGCAAGGTGGGGGTCGGGCTCTGCTCCCAGGTAACAAGTGACAGGATGAGAGGACATAGGCTTAACCCTCCCAGGGGAGGGTTAGGTTGGACGTCAGGAGGAATTTCTTCATAGAAAGGGTGAATATACATTGGAATTGACTACCCAGGAAGGTGGTGGAGTCCCCATCCCTGGAGGTTCTTAATGAAAGGCTGGATGTGGCAACTCAGTGCTCTGGTCTGGTTGACAAGGTTGATGTTCGGTCATAGGCTGGACTCAGTGATCTCAGCGGTCTTTTCCAGCCTAATTGATTCCTTGATTCTGTGATTTCCCGGTAATGCCATCACGGTAATGAGCGGTAATGGATGAGGGGGAAGATGCACCTGGAAGTGCGTGAGGAGGAGCCGTGCCCTGTGCTCTCAGCGATTCACGGCCCTGGAAGAATCGCTGCTGTCGTGCTGGAAACTCGGCTGACACATCAATTAACAGGAACCCAGGGGCAGAGCCACTTTTCATAGATGCTCTGCCAAAACCTCCGCGCACGATTCGGGAGCGGACGCTTGATTTCACTGCTGTCATCCTCACTTATCCATCCACTTATCCATCTCTTATCCAAATTGCCCATCAGGTTTTTCAGTTTGGACTCTTTAATAGCCGAACAAAGTCATAGTGAACCTTCTCGAAACTGCAAAGCCTTGTCAGACTTCAGCCCCTGAAAATCCAGTGATTCTCGGAGAGAATTGTTTTACAAACCTGATTATGAATCAAGCCTGGAAAAAAACTATAAATAGCAAGGCGGTAGAAGTCACGAGCATGTGTGTTGGCCAGGTTAAAGTTTGTTAATAAAGGTACTTCGAACTCTCTGAGAGCATACACGTAAAAACTGCAGGTCTGTTTTGGAAGCTGTTTTCCTGCAGTCACAGATAGATTTGACAAATACCTGCCTTTGACAGGTAGAAAAATCATCAAGAGAGACACTCTGGCATTGAACAAGTATGTTACTGTACAGTCATTTGTTACCACATCTTGATTTCCTTATGTCTGTCCCCATGCCTTTGCAGTTGCTGCTTCTTTCTGGAATTTTCTTTCTATTTTTTTCATCTGTTAATTTAGTACTATAGATCATTTCTCTTCACTTCCCTTATCAGTATGAGCACAGTGGGTGTAAGTCCTTCAGAAGGCCTTTAAAAAGAAGTTTAAAATACTCCTTTTCTCCTGGAGAAGATTTTCCAAAACAACCACAGAAGTGTGGGAAAGTCTTTAGGTGATACAACTCCTTCTGCACTTAAATTGTAAAAACATTCTTTTTATAAAGCGCGGTGATTTTAGTAAATGTGTTCATATCTCTGAAAATGTTCAAGGCAGTGATGGAAATACTCTCAGTGATAGAGATACGCTCTATAATTTGATATAACTAGAGATTAAGTTGATAACACAAAGATTAGGGAACTTTAAAATAAGCCAACAGGTGGTTTAACATATTTTGAAGTAAACTCTTAAGCATCCTTCATTTGTCTTTGTGCCAGGTGGAAGAGCTTGGTAGCAGAGATTGGGGAATTAGTGTTTAAAAATAGCACTTTTTCAAGGGTTAAACTTGCACTGTGGATATTATCCTGTCGATTGCGGTGATGTTCTTCAGGTAGCAAATGTCTGAGTTTTGATATTCCCTGCAAAAGCAGTGGTTTGAGTCAGTCCAGTAGGGACTGGATGTTCCTACCGGGCTTTGTGCAGAAGGGAGCGCATTGTTTGACTCTGTGCGGATCTGCGGGCTGGTGAAACAGTAGACGCTGAGAAACTCTAATCTCGGTGCTCTTCCTTGCCATTCAAGGTGTGAGAGTCCTCGTGGATGCCAGGGAGAAACTCCATATCCCCTGGGGAGATCCCGCCAACCAGAGTAACGGAGACAAGGTGATGGCTTTCGACACCCGCGCGGTCACCGTGGTGCAGGGCATGGTGGAGACCAACGTTTTCTTGGACTACCTGCCGGCCATCCGGGCCCTGTGGGCGGACAGTGGCATCCAGCACGCGTACGACCGGCGCAGGGAGTTCCAGCTGGTAAGATTTGGGGCTCGCTGCCTTTCGCTGGGTCTGTGGGATCCTTGTCCCCGTGTTGCTTTTCCCCCCTAAAGCACCGCTTGAGCCGCCTCCTTGAGGATCTGAAGCGTTCCTCTGTGGCTGGCTGTTCCTCTGTGGTATTGCACACAGATGAAATTAGCTACTCTCCCCCCCCCCTTTCTTTTAATAATAATAAAAAAAGAGATTCTGACGTAATTGTCCTCATTTCATATGTGGGAAAGCCCAGGTACTGAGGGCTTTTATGTTCTCTAGCAAAGCTGGTACCTGCACAATGTTTTCACCGTATGTTTGTTACCAGCCTTTGTTAACTAGTGCATCGACCTAAAAAACCAAACCAAAAAAAAATGATTTGCAGTAAAGCCAGACTTAATAGTAATGTGATTTTTTTAAAGAAAAGATATGCATGGGTTAATGAGAAGAATTTAAAAACCACTCCCTTCTCTATTCCAGTTTGAGCAATCTAGCAAACATTCCCTCTGTATACTTCCTGTTTAATTTTGAATGTCTGTGTTAATACTCATGTAATGAGATTTTTGTTACATTGAAGTTCTCAGCTGAAGATGGAATATACAGTTTAAGAGCAGGGTTAGGATGTGGAGTACACAATTCAGTAGTGGGGCTGGAAAGGAAAAAGAAACCTCTTGGTTCTCGAGCTGGAGCTTTAACTGTCCATGACAGCTGAAGTCCTTTTGCCCCATTTACATACAAATGCTGCAGAAGGAAATGAAAAATTAAACTTAAATTTGTTGTTTGTTGGTTCATAGAATTGCGTATACCAGTGGCATAGAGTTTTGTGGGGGTGGGGGTTGAGAACCTTAAAATAGATTAAATCTGTTCCTGTAGGTCTCTCAAACCTAAGTGGCTTTGTGTTTTTATGTCTTAAAAATAACCTTTGTGTTAGTGTCAATCTGAACAATAGCTCATGGTGTCTCCTGTAGAGCTGTTATGAATGGTTGTGTAATCATACTCTTGACTTAAAGAGGCTGTGTAAATATGCTATAAATATGTATTGCCCTGATCATGGAATGTCTTCTGGAGATTGCAGCATGGGCAGGTGCTCTGGTGGCCTATCACCTGCTCAGCCCAGTGCTCAGCTCTGTAAATAAGTTTCTAATGAGACCTGTTGCTCCTCGTGAAGGGATCATAAAAGGGTAATTAATTACTCCGCTGCAGTCAACATCCAGTTCGGGTGCAGATGTGAATTCTAGTGGTGTAATTGCTGTGCTGGAGGGATCTGCTCTAAAATCTGTTAAATAAAACAGTTTTGCCTTTGATTAAACGTGTTTAGTAACTGGAGGCTGTGCAGCAAAGGAGAGGGAGCTATTACTGTTCTGTCGCCTTGAGTCTCTGAGAAGTAGGTTCTTTCCATAACTGAAACATGTGCAGAGTTTCACTTTGAGTGGGATGTGAAGAATGTGTTCTTCTGAATCTTATGAAAAAAAAAAAGCTATTGCTTTTTTCTGGGAATCCCTAAATTTGTGCAATTCTCTGCAAAAATATGTATGAATAGTGTGGTGCTCCAGACAGAACCCAAGACTATTTTTTAAGTGCTCTTAATAATTGACTGCTGCCCTAATAATTTTTGAAAGCAAGGTGACTCCTTTATTTATACTTAAACATTGCTTTATTTCCTAAGTCCTTTCAAAATCTCAGCCGGACATATTTATGCCAAGTTATAAACATGATTAAAAAAAAAAAAAAAAAAAGGCAGCTGAATGATGTCATTGTGTTGAGTGCAGGCAGTGTGATCTGTGCTGGCCAAGCATGAAGTCTCAGTTTTACCCCAGTGAGCTGCAGCTGAAGTTCTGCCCGAGCTCCACGTGGGCAGCAGGACGGTGGGAAGCTCCTGGAAGCAGTGTGGGGTTTTGCTGTACCTGCTGTCAGGCTTCGCAGGAGAGTGTTCAGAGAGTTCAGGGCTGTGCTGTGAGAAGGAAGAGGGACACAAATGGTTAAGGAGGGAGTGACAGGCGTGTCCCAGTCAGGAGATAGAGCAGGGGGAAGTTGGGAGAGACTCAGACAGATCGCAGACAGATCGGTCGTGTCCAGTGCTGACTCTTGAAGTAAAGGCTCAAAACTGAAAAGTGTTAACACTGTAGAATAGGGAATAAAGGGAAAAAACACTGTTCTGCCTCCACTTCAACTGCTTGTGGCAAAAGTAGTGAAGGAGAGATCCCACCAATTATCAGATGGGTAGGAGAGGGGAAAGTGCCACAAAACCAGTGTAAAGTGCTGACAGTGATCAGTGTGGAGGAATATTACTGGTCTGTATATGCTTCAACTTCTTTTCAGACTGTTGAATGAGTTTAATTTTTTTCACTGATCTAAGTTTGACACTGCATTGAAAAACATGTAAGAGAGCACAGGCAGGAGTGCTGGGGAGGTGTTTGTCATGGCAATAGGACACTCTGGGGCAGAGGTGAGCAAAGGAAAATTGGTGGGTAAGGTGTGAAAATGTCAAAATTTACATAGACATTCTGGAGGAAAGGAAGCAAGAGTGCATAGTGTTGAAACCATTTGTAGCTTGGGCAGATGGGAAGTACAGAGAAAGGAGGTTTAAGATTGAAGTTTCTGCGTGTATATTGTTAAAACTTCAAGATACTTGTACATTTGTGAGAGATCACTGAGCTGTTCTTGGCTTTTTTGGTTTTTCCCCACCATCTTTCACTGACAATGCCAGAGATGATGGTGGGAGCCTGAAGAAACAATGTGGTCTTTTTATAGCAGCATGAGAGGGGAAAAAACAGAACTTGGTTGTATTTTAATGGAATCAGAAATCAGCATTTCCATGCCTGGTTCACTGGAGTGTCCTTCCTCATTTTGTTAACTCAAGTGGTCATGGGATTGTCAGTATGATTTATTTTCCTTGGTATAAAAATAGGGACCTTCTGGCCACTTGCAACGGTATTTATGAAAATTCATTAGGTCATGCTTGTGTAGTGCTTTAAAACTGGAAAGAGCTAATTACAGCTTAGTGCAATATGTGCCACTTCAGTACTTCCCAGGTGGTTAATGTTATAATCCCACACATTTTATTACAAACTGGAGTCATTCAGGTGATTGTTCTACTAACACAGTTAGCTACAGGCTGTCCTGGTTCTGTGGCTTACATTGGAGATTCTGCTCATCTCAGGCTTTCTCTCCTTCATCTGCTGAGCTGCTTTCTGCTGTGGCCTCTCGTCAGGTGGCTGACACGGATGAGCTACAGAATTAATGTGAACCAGCCCAGCGCTTTCTGACACCTAATTAACATTTCGCCTCTCTCATCGCTGCTTGATTTCCGGTAAAAATCTCCCAAAATGATTTGGATAAACATCCCCATTACCTTAATTCTGCAGTGTGCAAACTGACTTACCTGGGCACTGCCCAGCTCTGTCGCTCATCCCGGTGAGCTGCTGGGTGTGCGGCTGGGAGGGTTTGCTGTTCCCACGGAGGTTTGTGTGACGCTGTGGCAGCCCAGCAGTGTTTGGTGCTTTGTGACACCGAGGAAACCACTCCTTGGTAAGAGCAGCCTTGTACAGCCCCCCCTCTCACATCAGGCATTTCTTGAATTTGCTGTGAGAGCTGTTCACAGAGAAGCCTTTTTGAAGTAGTCTCCAGGAGTCTTCTTGTCCTCTGAGAACTGAAAAGCAGGATGAGAGCTGAGTTACTCAGATGCACGATAAGCTTTGGATGTTTTCTAGGTTTGTTCTTGTTCAAGATAACTTTTGGGTGGGTTTGGATGTTTGCTACCAGCAGCTATTGATCTTCAGACAGATACTTTTTGCACTACTTGCAAATTATGTTGAATATTGTTGGGGTTTTTGTTGTGCGAGGGCAGGGGCGACCCTTTATTTTGTCCATGTTAGAACTGCACAGATCATCCATAGGTGGTACGGTAATATGTACTTACTTCTGGATCACAGCTCCTTCTGTGACATGTCTGCAAGTGCTAGATCAGATTATTGAAGACAGGAAAAGGCGTGTTCCGCTTCAAGTTGTACTGGTAGCTTTGCTGCAGCTTCCCTGTAGCGTTCTGCCGTTGCAGACTAGTGTTTTTGGCAAGTGTTGTTCAGTTTACTGGGAGACTGTGTTGTATTTTTATTTCTGCTTGGGCTTTTCTGGGTTCTGCCCCTGGAGTGTTGCTGGGCACAGTAAGTTTGCTCTGCTGAAATAACAGGTCCTCAAATGGACACTGAAGTTTAATGTCCTTTCAGGTGCACAAGCAGCACATCTTTGAAATGTGCTTGATTATAGAGCAGGATCCTGCAGAGGTCAGCTGTGTGTGAAGCCAGGGTAGATTTCCAGATGTTGAGATCTTCCCCTTTTGGAGGGTGGATGCCCATCCTGTAGAACAGTTGTGAGGTGAGGGTCCAGCATCTCAAGTCCTAAGTGCAGGGCCTGCAGGAAGAGTGTCTTGTCATTCCCTAATGTGTCTGCACCGTGTGGTGCAGACTTTCAGAAGCCTTTTTGTAAACACGTGCATTGACCATTTGGGCACTTAGTCACGTAATTCAGAGCTATTTTAGTGAGATACAGTGTTGTAATTATGTCGAATATTGCTTAAATTTGTGTATGCAGAAACCCAAAAAGCTGCTGCTTTTATGTGTTGAAATATTTTCCCCTCTTTCCTTAATCAATAGCTCTGCCAAAGATCAGACCACAGGATGACATGTGAACAGTGAGCATGACTCCTTAAAGCCCTTGGAAAGGGCTACTTGCCTTCTTTTGGTCTTTATGGGAAAAGGATTTATCAAAGATCATTGCCTTAACTGTGGAAAGAAAAGTGCTTTACAAATTTATACTTGAAAATGAGTCATTTAAATCCTCAGAAAAGACTTGGAGTTCTTGGAGGAATTGCTGTTTTTCCTGCCCCAGTGACAAGATAATGCTGCCTTTGAGTTGGTATTAATAAGATTCCATGGAGGGATTAACTCTGGAGTCCAACAATAGAGACTTGAGTGTCCTTCTTCAGGGTTTGTGGCCAAAACCCCTTCAGTGTG